AAATACTTAATTATAAATAAATATAGTAAATTACTTACTTTCTAATTCTTTCATTTCATCAATAAATGGTCGTAAAAATGTATTAAAATCCTTTGGTTGATTTGGTCCAGAAATCAAAAAAGGAATTAATAAATTTTCTTTTTTTACTCGCAATGAAGGATGTAGATTATTATTTATCAAAAGAAATAACCAACAATCATCAGTTTTTTGTTTAAAAATCTGATATCCATCACAAGAAGCTGTAAAAGCAACATCTCTTTCATCATCAAATAAGTTTTCATTTACAAGTTCTTTGTAAATTTTTCCATCAAATATATCATCTAAATCATCATCATTTTTATTTATAAGATATTGATGACGATAATATAATTCTTTTGCTCTATTTGCATCATTAAATTGTAATTTTAATCTGTCTTTTACTGAAAGATATGGCATAATCTTTTTTGCTTTACCTCTGGTATCTAATCTAGTTGAATTACATATTGGACAAATTCTATAAGATTCATATTGTCCAGTATAACAGATACAAGAATTTTCACACATGTCATAAAATGCTGGAATTAATCCCGTTATTTCTTTTAAATATTTTTTAATTTTATATAGACTTATATTGTTTGCTGTAAATATATTTAATATATCATCATATGCAGATTCTGTGAAATTATATAAGGATTTTAAATGTAATAGTTTTAATCCTTCTATGATTTCTTTATTAAGAGTATCAAATTTATCATCGATTTGCATTGTATCTTCATCTGTATTTTTATCTGTATCCTCATCTATATCATCATTCATATCATTATCATTCTTATCCTCATCATCATTATTCTCATTTTCATAATCATCATTCTCATTCTCATTATCATCATTCTTATCATCAGTTTCATCATTCTCATAATCATCATATTCTTCATTATCTACTTCAACATCTATATTATTATCAGAAAAATATTCTTTATCTTCTTCATTGAAATCAAACCTTCTTATATCAGAATCTTTATCAATTATATTCAGTTGATTCTCTTGTTGATATTTATTTTCTTGTTGATATATATCTTGATATTGTATATCTTCCAAGTTTTGCTCTTGATAACTTATATTTGTTTCTCCTACATCTAAATATTCTTGTTGATTTTTACGATGACGATTATAT